AGCAAGATCAAGTAAATCGCCTGCCCRGACAAGACCGGGTGCATCCGTCAGGTGTGTGCGGGTACGTGCATACGAACTTCAGTYGTTACGCCCGTTTACCWCCGAACTGSCCGGCCGCTTCCGCCCCAAACTCGCTGAATCTTCTGCTAGAACTCGAACAGGTACACTACCTTTTCACCCATGTTCGCAGAATGGTAAAACGAGACTCCTCGACAGCYAAGAYAACCGAACGCATCACTCATCAGGTAAGCAAAGAATCAGAAAGGGGGGGGGGAAAGAGAGAAAAGAAGACGAAAGAARTAAAAGCAGAAAGTGGGGGCGAATCTTTTACTAGAAAACGGGCAGATTCATCSCCTTTTTTCCACAGCCTTCTCCCCCCATAGTATCGCGCAGCCCCATTTCCTACTAACTCTCTATCCACTAACCCAATGCTAGAACTCGCACTACTACGKKATTCGCCCGGGGTAARAACCCCAGAATCGAATCTTTTCCCACCTCTTTCCGCTCAGGAATGAGTGAATCGCATTCGTTTCCTTCCTCACTCCGCCATAACTCCACGCACCTTCACTCTCACCAACTCGTTCTATACTAACCCATCTGCCATTCTAACTCTATTATCCATCTCGCCTTGTCAAATAACCCCTATCTACCATCTTCTCCGGGCCGATTTCATTATGAATCGGTCGAGAAAGCTTCCTCTTCCCTCGCTGTTCACCATCTCCCTCGTCCTCCACTTCCGAACGCACCTGGACGCGAAAAACACCCAGATTCTTTTCTTTATTTTTTCTTTTATTTCTTCAGTGCCCGTCGCCACTTTTGCGCAGTGCCCACTGCTCCGCCTAATAAGTACCCGTTCTCCTCTCCTGCATGCACGGGGCGCAATAAACTACCCGTATTCATCCCGTCATTTCCTTTGCCCAGTCGCCCGACTTCACGCTGCCATGACGCCACCTACATCAGCGCCGCACCTTCCCGTTCTAGCACCGTTCGCCCGACTGCTCCCCTGTTCCTCCGATCGCCTCCTACCTCCCTACACTCGACGTCTGCTTCTGCAGCTCCGCCTTGCTACTGCACAGTGCCGCCCGCTATCCCGTATGTACCCTATACCCCTTTACGTCCAGATTCAGTCCCGCTCCCCTGGCCTTTCATGCGCTTCCAATCTGCGCTGCCCGGATGTGTGTGTTGGTCAATACCGGCAGCCGGTCAGTGATCACCTTCGAAGTCCGCCATAGTTATCCCTCCCGCTGCTGCCTTTTTTGAATGAACCCGGTGCAAAAATGCGCCCCGGTTCATTCCACTTGCTAGTTCCTCCCCCTCACTCCATTGCCTTAGCGTCCAAGGCTCCTCTGCTGCCACCAGCCTCATCTGCTGCGCCCGCTAACTCTTCTCTCCGCCTTACCTCTACGTACCCCGATGCTCATCGCTTCTGCCATGCACCGCCCTGGTCATCTCCCCGTCATGCTCCGTTGTCGGATGCACCCGGTGCATAACGTCGCCCGGGTTCAGCCCCACATGGCCGTTCTACCGCACTTGGCCTCGGGCCTGCTGGCTCCCTGTCCTACTTCTTCCTCTCCCTGCCTGATATCGGCGCCTGCTGCCTCTTTCCGCTCGCTGCCCGTCCCGAATGCTGCGCAGCGCTGCCCGTCATTCCCCTGCTTCTCCACACACCGCGTGGTCCAACAGCCGGTCGGCCTGACGAATCTTCGGAGGGGATCGGCTGCTAGACGGGTCGCGGAGTCTTCGACCCTAGACCTAGGCCCATGAACGATTTGTACTTCAGTATCACTGCGAGCCTCAGCCAGAGTTCCCTCTGGCCTCACCCTTACTGGCTCCAGCCATTCGGAGGGAAACTTCGGAGAGGACCAGGTACCAGGCAGTTAGATTAGTCTTTCACCCCTATACGCAGCTGGTCACTACTCGGCAGGCCATCACCACAACCCCCTCAGTGTTGTTCGAAGCCCACCACCCCTTCGGGCTTCCACTGGCCAGACTCCCCTTCAAACAGCTGGCCACGGTACTAAAGGCTCGGCCTGCCGCAAGGCCCGAGCATGGGCCTTAGCAGACTGGGTCCAGTAGGGATCTTGGTGGTAGCAGCAAATTTTCCCTGTCGCCGTCCGGCGGCCCCCTCGGGGCGTATCGACGTTCTCCCAGTGGGAAGCGAGGAAAGCCACGACCACGGACCCCACGGGCTACGGCCCCCGCAGGCCCTTAAAACAATCATTGCCCCGTGTTCCGCCCACGACACCACGTCCTAATGCAAAATAGGGCGCGGCCGCAGTGCAGCCACGAAAATAATTTGTAATTGCACAACAGGCAATCCCGCGAATACAACACACCCCCACATGATTCCATCGCGGTCTCGCGTCCTTGAACGGGGCTTGATAAATAAAACAGGAAAAGAGAAGTAGAATAAAAATAAAAAAAATAGAGCTGGGGGACAGCGGGGCTGCTGGCGCCACGCCAGTCCCGCGGATCAGGCCTGCCGCCGCCCCTGTAAACAAAACCGAAGGGGATAGCCCTGGCGGCCCTCCACCCCACCGATTCCTTCCGCGATGCTTCGCTGTAGTTGCTGCGCCGATGCCCTACCGAGCTCGATCCCCGAACCTCCATAGCGTCAGCCCAATGTCATAACCTATAGGGCTAAGCCCAAACCTGGTACCGGCAGTAACATAATCCTAAATAAAGTGGTACGGCGCGGTTGTCCCGGGTCGCGAAAGCGGTCTGTGCCACTCCTCAGCCTATGCCGACGCGCGCGGCCATCGAAAGTCCGTGCCGCGGCTGTCCAGCCAAAAAATATTTATAAATCCTGGTTTAATCAAAAATGAAATAATATTTAATATCACCTAAGCAAAACGACCGAGGTCCGAGCCGACTCTTACGATCAACAACAGARAAGAATCACGGRCGMCTTAAACCTKYRCGCTCACACRCTCGCTATTGTGGTCRACCACCTAGTCAACRCAATTACAAACGCAGCCGCGCTTAGCGCGGTATACTTAAACTTTAAGCCAAACAATTTTCTGTTACTTGCAAAAACCAGGGCGGATACCCTTGTAAGGGTATTCGCACCGACAGCCTTACCGGACCATATTAAGCGACGTCCCCGTCGCTTCGCCAAATCTGAAAGCTATAAACCCATTCACACTCCAAATGCTGACAAAACAGGAGCCAATCCGATTAACCGACAAACACAGGGTAGAGGCCTCCATCAAACCATGCCTTCACAACTATATGCTGCCAGGTTTCTAACCTGGGCCTCATACCGTCCTGAAATTAGGACACTGGCAGCATAAGTTCCAATGACCTTCCCAATCGTATTCTCCCCGGTCCTAGACAACCTTCGGCTTCTCGTTGGGTGTCCCTAGTCCTGGCAAAAACTAGGGACGCGGGCCTTAACCGAGACCTTTGAAGGCACTCTCACCTTCCTTCTCAAAATCTCTCGCAATCAAATACATATAAGTATATATGTAAACTTAAGATCCACTCCATTCTTTCTACGGTCTAGTACAGAAAAGCCAGGTCTCCATCTTGGCCCACCATAGCCTGGTTGATCGGACCGGGACTACGGCCTTTGTTATTTAACGGCAGTACCCTCGTTGGTTACGCAACGATAGGGTTTCTCCTGATAAGCATTCAATCAAGACCTCCAAAAATCTCAACCTTCACTATCCCATAGAGTAATTTCCCTGGGGCGGGTAACTCCCTTTAAACTTTTACTCCGTGGTCCGGCAACCAGGTTGCGCTGGTTAGCAGCCATCCAATGAGGTTACGCCCTAGAGGTACTAACTTCTTTTCCGTTAGCTTGGCCTTTCTTCAATATGTCTCAGAATTAGCACCAGTGGTTAAACGGGTGCGTCAAAACAAAATCACAGGCCCACTGCGCGATACGCAGGGGTCCAAAGGTTTTTACCAGCCCTCCTTCAATAGGCATGACCTCCTTCGCACGCTTACAAGCAAAATCACCGCTAAATCCACCAGGCCGTGACCCCTGACCTGATCAGAGCCAGCAGCCACCCACTCTGAGACATCTCTCGCCCTGTACTCATTGCGACTTTCTCAAACATTTCAAACAAAAAGTGCCCCCTTTCCAATAGACTTTATCACCCATCGAACAACTCGTCATGCCATAAATCAATTTACTAACTTCTAAGGATGAATCTTTCAACAAAAAAACACTCCCCTTTTCCAACAATCCAAAAGGGACTCTCTTCATAAACAAAACACCCCCTCTTCCAAAAATCGCGAGGGGTCTTGCCATAAAACAATACATTCCCTCTTCCAGAAATCACGAGGGTCTCATCATAAATCAAACACTCCCTCTCTCAAAGTCACGAGGGGTTTCGTTACATCACAAAACATCACGAAACATCCCCTCCGTTTTCCAAAATCTAAGGGGGTCCCATCATAAAACAGAACATCACTGAGAGACCATCTTATGGGTCCTCATCACAACTTAGATAACTTTCACAGACGGACTACGCTTCCTCCCCTTATACTCTGCCTTATCTGCTGCCGTGGGCAGGTCGCACAAGTATACCGAGAGGTAGACAATTTTACTTACAATCATATTAACATACCCAAGATACATAAAAGGTCTTTCACACATTGTCCACACAAACTCATCATACATCAGAGTACAACCACACATGTGAGAAAGACAAGTGATCGTCACATATAAGAATGTTCCCTGAAGGAAACCTCATCATAATATACACTTAGGGAATACAATGTCTCATACAGAAAGTGTCTCCAAATCATAGCTTGCTCAACTCAAGCCACACCAAACCCACACTGACAATTACCCTTAGAATACATGTCAGATCTGTCTCTCAAAGGCCAGGGCGTAGGCCACCTAAATATGTACATGCCTCATCTAAACCACCCTGACCCTCAAAACCCCAACTCAGTAGAAACACTAGAGTTCAGATCTAGATTAACAGTAATGATCAAAATATCTTCTAAGTTTAAGAGAGTATCACACAGAACCTAAGTTGATGCCTCACAAAATGCTCGCTTGCTTATATAGACAAAGTCGGCCCTACCTCCTCAACTCCTCCTGATTTTGCCTATATAACTGAGCTCTAAGTCCATCTGCGGACTTCTCTACTATCCTACCCTGTCTATCATACATTTTACCCCCTACCTCTGAGATCTTCCTTGCTGCCTTATCCTCAAGAGACTCGAGACAATCCAAAGCATGATGCGCGCTCCTCTTACAGTAGAAACATAGTTGATCAAACTTCCTCTTGAACTTCTTCTTCCTGGGCTGAGGAGGTGGTGATGAAGGAGATCCTGCCAAGGTACTGATAACCCCCTGCTGTTCTGCTTGAGGAGCTGCAGTACCAACGACTTCCTGCCGCTCTGTCCCCGGAACTGGTCCACCAGACCCAGATCCAGTAGCCCAAAATCCTAGTCTGCCTCTCAAATCCTMTGTCGCTGGAACGTACYCGGGCGTGTCCAACCTCTGAGGCCTCCTCTCGAGTGCCGCCCCTGGCACTGCCGTGGGCTGCTCCTCAATCTCCTCTGGTCCATACTCAGGTGTGCCTATCCTCTGGAGTCTGCCCTCGATGGCACCCTCCTCTTCAATCCCCATCTCTCTTTCAAGAGGCTCCTCTATCCTCTGCTCAGGTGAAAACAAACTCACCTCCTCCTGCATAGTATGCACCGCCTCAAGGAGCACGCCCATGGATCCCTCTGCCGAGCCCTGAGCCGGCTCACTGCTAGATGGTGGCAGCCCCTCCTCTACTGCCAAACGTACGACTGGGACTGCCGCCGCCACCGGCAGCGCCGCGAGCTCAGTAGGGGCTCTAAACTCGAACGCCTCTCTCTCTGCCTGTCTCTGGGCTCTCGCCTCCTCTGGCTCCAAGATAACTCTCCCCATAAGCGGCTCCTGGCGAGGCTCTGTCGCAGATGGTTGTCCTGACAATCCCTGTCCTGGCTGCCTCTGCTCTCCCTGTCGGCTGCTCTCTGGTCTGTCCACCTTTCTCTAGGTTTGCTGCCTCAGGCTCTCAATGATAGCTGCCTGGCTGGCCACCAAAGCCCTAAGTTCCTGAATTTCCACCTCCATAGCCTCCAGACGTACTCCATGGCTGGCTTCCTTCATTTTCTTCCCCGCCAGATCGCCCTCCAATAACAAGTGCCGGTCAAAAGTGGTCTTGGCCAGGAACTTGATTTTACGATCTAACCTTTCTTCCGCCTTCCTGACCACCCCAAACCTGGCTCTGACTGGCGATAGAAACTCCTCTCCTCTCTGCTCCCAGAAGTCTCTCCACATTTCAGGAATTTCCGGGGCCTTGGCTGGCGCGCTGGGCGGCTGACCCGACAGTGCTCCTGCTGCCTCCGATCTCTGCCTCTCCTGCCGCTGCTCCAAGAGCTCCCCTGCTGCCTCCAACCTCTGCCTCTCCTGCCATATCTCATCTATCCGTCTGGTTCGTCTTGCCCTCTTTTCTTCGGCCGTCTCTCCAGCTGACACCCTTTCCCTCGTGCGGAGGTCGACCCTCTTTGGGATTTCTGCTTCCATCTCCTTCTCGGGCTGACATGACTCCTGGCGTGGCTCTGCAGGTGTTGGCTCCTCCAGGTCTGGGTGCTCCAGGGCATGAGCTGCTAGGTGCCTATCAATCAGGATCAAAGAGTCTCTCCTTACAACTGTCCTCTCTCTCCTCCTTTCTGCCCTCCCTTCTGCCGAAGGAGCCTTTTCTGACGAAGGTAAAGGGGTCTCCTCTCTCTGCAACCCCTCATTTGCCTGCCAGGTGCTCCCTGGTGCATCCCCGAGTCTCAAACCCACTGCTGGCGTCTGTGGGGGCGTGTCCTCTCCAACCTCTATCACTTCCTTCTCTGCACGTCTCCCCTCATCGCCCAGCCCTCTCTCTCGCTGAATACCCCGGACCTCTTCCTGTAGTAATTCCTCTCGTAGCACCTCCTTTGCCTGCTCTCCATGCCCCTCACCCTGAAGCGACGCCCTCCACCGAGAAATATCTAAATGCATCTCCAATTCCCTCAAGGGCCCC